CTGATAAAAAAACATAGAAAGAATGGACACAGCTTCTCAAATTTTTAGAGACCTGGCAGGCAGCTTCTCAAGGGGCTTCTTGCAGGTAAAATCAGTTTGGACGTGAACACAAGAGTGAAGGGGCAGATCAAGGGATTCTCTTCTCAGCTACTGCCTCCCAGAAAACTGCTCTGTTGTCCTTAAAAGTGGGAGCTGACAGAAACATTCCCAGGTTGTAAATCTTTTGGAGAATATTGGCATAAATAGGAGAGCTCTTTGATGTGGATTTTCTGCTTAAAATCTGGTTAGAATGGGTAGTCTTTTAAGTGACTTTGACTTTCTGCCCTTCTACTTCTTTTTATAGCAAAGAGAAAGAAGGGAGAAGAAAGGAATGGAAGCCTGGATTAGGTTCTGGTCTTGAAATGAAAACACATTGGGAAGGCCTGACTATGAATGCTATGTGTATAAATTTGGAGGCTTCAAATTTCCCAATCTGTCTCTTATCCTTGTTAATGCAATTCCCTCTTCCTAGGGATAATGATAATGATATTTAAAAATAGCTCAAATGTACATAGCACCATCTCCTCATGGTGCCCACAAAGTGCCCCCTAGCGCCCACTACTCCTGTTACAAGCTTTACAACTATTATCTCATTTGATCTTCACAACCACCATGCCAGAGAGGTGCTATTATTATTCCCATTTTACAGATGAGGAAACTAAGAGAAACAGAGCTTAAATGACCTGCCCAGGGTCACCGAGCTGGTAAGAGTTTGGGGCTGGATTCCAACTTAGCTCTTCCTCACTTCTGGCCAATAGTTGCCACCACCATCCCCCATAGCTACCTGCTCCCTTATAGGGAGCTCCTTGACAGCAGAAAAGAAACAAACAAGCATTTATTCAGTGTGTACTATGTATCAGGCACTGTCCTAAACACATTTGAAATATTACCTCATTTTATCCCCACAACAGCCCCCTAGTAACGATTATTATCCCCATTTTTACCAATGAAGAAATTGAGGCAGACCTAGGATTAAGTGGCTTCCCAGGCTCTGAGGTCGGATTGAAATGCAGCATCCCAGGTGCAGCAATCTGTTCATTCAGATAGTCACCAGGATTTTATTCAGTCTTTACTTTGAATTCCTAGTGCCCTTATTGCTTTTTGCGTATACTAGATGTTTGATAAATGTTTACTCACAGATTAAAGCACATCCAAAATCCAGGAAGCCTCCTCTTATACCTTCATTTGGAAGTAAATTCCCCTCCTACTCAACATTCTTATATTTCTTCTGTACTAGGTATATGCACATATCTTCTTTTACCTTATATTAAAGGCATATGGGCATTTCTTGCCTCCTGTACTATATCATGGAACCTTCTGGGAAGATGGACCATCTGGATCATAGACATTATCTATCACATCATATTAACTCAATATTTATTGGTTGAATAAATGAGTGAGTCTGGCAGGCACGTTTAAGTTAGGAGATACAAGCAAATAGCCATGAATATCATAGGAATCACATGAAGGGAGTAGTATAGGTGTGAAGAGCCTGTTATTAATAATGAGCTATGGCAGACAGGTACAACAGTGGATAGAGGGATAGGCCTCAAGTCAGGAAGACTTGTGTTTAAATACAGTTTCATATACTTGCTGGCTGTGTGACCCTGGACAAATTAATTCACCTCTGTTTTCCCTCAGTTTTCCACTTGTGAAATGGGTGTAATAGTAGCACATATCTCCCAGGGTTGTTGTGAGGATTAAATGACATAATAATTGTAAGATACTGCATACAGTGCCTGGCACCACAGAAGTGTTAGTTACTCTTCTTGTAGCTGTTTTTATTGTTATTGTAAACAAAAATGAGCTGAATTCTTGATTTTGACGATTACATGACAGAAAACTTTCCTTCTGAAATGCATTTTCTCTTCAGGCTTTGTTAGTGGTTTCTGATTCTCTCCCCTTCAGGTGGCTGCACAAAAACTACCAGCAGGCCATGACCATAAGGTCTGCTGTGGAGGAGATCAACAGGGACCCTGTTCTCTTGCCCAACATTTCTCTGGGATTCCAGGTGTACAAGGCCTAACCACAGTGAGGAGAGGACCTTGGAGAGCTCCCTGCGGTGGTTGACAGGAGGGGGTCAGCTAGTCCCTAACTTCAGCTGCAGAGGGCAGAACAAGTCTGTGGCTGTCATTGGAGGAGCCACATCAGCTCTGTCTGTCCAGATGGGGACCCTGCTGGAGCTCTACAAGTATCCACAGGTGGGTGATATTGGGCCTCCTACCTTCTAAACCTTCATCAGGCCACTCCAACTTAGGAGAGAGTGGATGGACGTCTCATTGAGCTACATCCAGATTGCACACAATAGAATTAGAGTTACCTAACCCTGTGGAGGGGTGAGGTCGAGTAGGATTAAGCACTTAGAGAGTGCCTACTGAGTGCCAGGCACTGAGCTAAACATTCTTACAATTATTTTCCTACTTGATCCTCCCAACAACCTTCTGTGGCTCTTGCTGTTATTGTTCCCAACTGAACAAAATGAAAATTGCCCATGGTCACCCCATCAGTAAGTATCTAAGGACACGTTTAAATACAGATCTTCCTGATTCCAGCTCCAAAGCTCTACTCACTGCATCCAAAACCTGTGGAAACGTGGCAAAACAGAGTAAGAATTATCCATCACGTAAGTGGCAGAAGGACTAGGAAAAAACACACCAGAAAATACAAGAGAAGGCAAGCTCTGGAGGAGAAGAGCGGGATCAATAGCACTCAAAGACAGCAACGTGAGTGAGGATCTTGAAAAGTCCATTTGATTTGACAGTGAAGGGATCTTAGGTGACTCTGGAGGGAGCAATTTCAGATAAAGAGTTTAGACGCTGTATTGCAGAGGGTCCGGGAGAAAGTGAGAGGAGAGGAAGAGAAGGTGTTGGAAATATGAATTTGTTAAGTAACTAATCCACAAAGTGGAGGTGAGGTGTAGGACAACAGCTGCCAGGATTAATAGGATCCAGTAAGTTTGTTTCTAGGATTTCAAATGAGGGACGTGAGCATATTTGTAAGTAGTTGGGAAATAGCCAGTAAATAAGGAGAGACAACAGGTTACTGAGAGAGTGGAAATGACAGAGAAGGCAATCTGGTAAAGAAAATTGAATCAGATGGGATCAAGGGTGTATTCATAGAAGTTTGCCTTTACCATGACGGAGGCTATCTCTTCACATTATACAGAAGTTAAAGAGATAGTAAGGGAAGACATCTAGTTATTTTACTTTATGAGAAGTGAAAGAGAACTCATTAAAAATGGCAGATCTCTCTTTATGTCTAGCTTGCATATCCATTTTGACCCTATCTTGGTAAATGGTGGAAGATAGGATATATGCCCAGTTTCTGCCACATATTTCTAGTTTTCCCAACATTTTTTTTACCAAATAATGAATTATTATCCCACTTAATTTGTAAACACAAGTTTATGTTTATTTGTTGCTGTAAATTGTGTGTCTACCATATTCCATTGATCTACCTTTCTATTTCTTAGCAAGTACCAAATAGTTTTGATAATTACTGCCTTATAGTTAAACTCTGGTATTGCTTAACCTTCTTCTGTAACACTTTTTTTTCATTATTTCCTTTGATATTCTTCAACAACAAAAGTTGTTCTTCCAAATGAATTTTGTTATTTTTTCTACTCAATAAAATATTTTTTGGCAATTTAATTGGGATGGCATTGAATCTATGAATTCTTTTGGGCAATATTGTCATTATTATCATATTGGCCCTTCCTATCTATGAATAATTAATATTTCTTCAATTATTTAAATTTTATTTGTAAAAATTTTTTTTATAATTTTGTTTATATAATTCCAGGGTTTGTTTTGGCAGGTGAACTCCCAGGTGTTTTTTTTTTAACTGTCTAGAGTTCTTTTATATGGAATATCTTTTACTATCTCTTCTTGCATGGTTTTGTTTGTGATATATAAGAAGGCTGATAATGTGAATTTACTTTGTATCCTCTTACTTTGCTAAAATTATTGTTTCAACTAACTGTTCACTTAAATCTTTGAGATTTTTCCGAGTATATCAGCATATTTTCTGCAAAAGAGATAGTTTTATTACCTCATTCCCTATTATGATTTCTTCTTTTTTTCCCTCTTATTTCTATTACTAGGATTTCCAATAAATATTAAATAATATTGGTAACAGTATTATTTCAAACCTGATCTTATTGGGAAAGCTTCTAGTTTATCCCTATTAAGAATAATGTGTGCTGTTGGCTTTACATAAACACTTTATAAAAAAAATCAATTTAAGACAAAATCCATTTACATCAATAAATTTATGCCCTTTCAAATGTTTTTTTAATGCAAATGAATGTTGAACTTTATCAAAAGCTTTTTTGCATCCACTGATACAATCATGTCATTTTAAAAAGTTTTATTATTGATATAATCAACTATGTTAATAGTTTTCCTTATGTTAAACCATCCCTGTATTCCTGGTATAAATCCTACTGGATCAAAATGTATAATCTTTGTAATATATTGTTGTAATCTTTTAGCTAGTGTTTTATTTTGGATTTTTTGCATCCATATTCATTAATGAAACTGGTTAATAATTTTCTTTCACTGTTTTTATTTTTCCTGGTTTAGGAATCAGTATCATATTTGTTCCATAGAAGCAGTTTGGTAGGATCCCTTTGCCTATTGATTCAAATAATTTATTTAATATTGGAATTAGTTGAACTTTAAGTGTTGGATAGAAATCATTTTTGAATCCATCTGGTCCTGTTGCTTTTCTCTTAGGAAGCTCATTTATGACTTGTTCAATTTCTTTTTTAAAAAAATAGGTCTATTTAGATATTCTATTTCCTCTACTTCTAATCTAGGCAATTTATTTTTGGAAATATTCTTCCATTTCACTTAAATTGTTAAATTTATTGGCATATTATTGGACAACAGAGCTCCTTATAATTATTTCAGTTTCATCTTCATTGGCGATACATTTGCCCTTTTAGTTTCTGGTACTAGTAATTTGGTTTTCTTCTCCTTTTTAATAATAAAACTAATCAATTGTTTATCTATTATATTTTTCTCATAAAACCAACTCCAAGTTTTATTTATTAATTCAATATTTTGTTTTGCTTTTACTTTCTATTGCATTAATCTCGCCGTTAACTTTTAGGATTTCCAATTTAGTGTTTAGTTGGGGATTTTTAGTTTGTTCTTTTTCTAGTTTTTTAAAAGTGTATATGCAATCCATTAGACTGCATGTCCCCCTATTTGATTGATGTAAGCATTTAGAGATATAAATTTTCCTCTAATCATTGTTTTACTGTATTCTTGGGTTTTGATATGTTCTCACTTTTGTCATCCTCTAATGAAATTATTAATTGTTTCTATGATTTGTCCTCTAACTTACTCATTCTTTAAGTTTAATTTTTTTAATCTCCAATTAGATTTTAAAATTTTATTTTTAATTTATCAAGTAAAACAAGCATTTCTATAACATAGTACAGTAAAAAGATGATTGCGCATGAAACTGCAAATCTACTATACACAACTTGCTATTCTTTTCAATTATACAAGAAAATTATCACATAAATTTCCTTTTTTTCCTTCCCTCCCCCTAGAGATGTGTCTAATGGTAGCCCTAGAGATGGCTACCATTAGACACAAATAAGTGTGTACATATGTGTATATATATATATATATATATTATATATATATAATATATATATGTTTATAGGTATATGTGTATATATATGTTTATAGGTATATGTATATACGTATGTATATTATATGTATAAAATTGTTCTATACATACTTCCATTTATCAGTTCTTTCTCTGAATGCATAGTGTCTTTCTTCATATATCCTTTAGAGTTAATTTGGGTATTTATAATAGCCAAAATAAATTATTCACTCAAAATTGTTTTACAGAAATATTATAATTATTGTATACAACATTTTCTTGATTCTGCTCACTTTGCTCTTGATTACTCTGTGCAAGTTTTTCCATTTATTTCTAAAATAATGGAGCCCATCACAACCATATACCATAACTTGTTAAGCCATTCTCCAGTTGGTGGGCATCCCTGCATACAATATTTTCCCATCATAATCATGTACCACAACTTACTCTTTATTTTTATTTATTTATTTTATGTACATTTCATGGTGACTGTTTCTTTGTGGAGGAAATCTGGAGAGCTTGAAAATTTCTGATCTACTCTGCGATGTTCCCAGAATACACTACAGAATTGTCTAATTTTAAACATAACTTTTATATGTAAAAAAGCCATAAGGGTTATGCTTTTAGCCTCAATAAATATGTCCAAGACATAGATGATCTAAGTATTTTTTTTGTTTTCATAAAAAATACTGCCATCACATGATAAAAATCTACCTACTTTAATATAACACCCAACTTTGGAGTCAAGAAAAAGTATAATAGTATATTTTGGAAGGAGAGAGAAGACCTTCTAGTTGAAGCTGTGATAACTGAAGAATCAGAGAACTCTTTCTTTACCAAGCAAGTGACTAAATGAGGGGAATAACAATGGAGATCAGGATTGGTTAAAATTCTCCTATAACATGGAGTATATTCTAAAAACCACAGCATTTGTCCGCACAAAGGACAACTTAATGAGAGTCTGTAATTTCCCACAATTCTATCGTTACTAGCATATTCATAGAATTTAACATTTCCCATGTTTTTCATTTTGTACAGCTCAGCTTTGGCCCTTCTGATCCCATCCTGAATGACAAAGCCCAATTTCCTTCTCTCTACCAGATGGCTCCCAGAGACTCCTCCTTGCCTAGAGGTATGGTCCAGTTACTGGTATATTTTAAATGGACCTGGGTAGTTCTGGTGACCACAGATGATCTCAGGGGTGAGGAATTCCTTCGTGAAGTGACAGGGGAGATGGCAAAGCATGATGTCTGTGCTTCCTTAACAGAGAAGATCCCTGTCAGTGAGAGATCACATGAAGAATCAGAGCTGTATTTTATGCCCAGGATTATTGCATCTCCAGCTAGGGTAGTGGTGGTTCATGGTGATGCAGATTCATTAATGGTTCTCAGATATTCACAAATGCCATTTTCGCCAACAACTAAGGTGTGGATCACCACCGCTCACTGGGACATAACTATGAGACCTTACTATTTTGACACTTTTTTTTGGTGGAGCTCTCATATTTACATACATGACTGATGAGGTTCCTGGTTTTAAGTCTTTTCTCAGGACAGTGAACCCAAATAAAGAGCCAGAGGACATCATACTTAGTGAGTTCTGGTTGTCAGCTTTCCAGCGCAAGGGGGATTATGAAAAGCAAGAGCTAGAACAGTGTGCCCCAAATGCTACATTGGAAACTTTGCCCATATTCCTTTTTGATATGACTATGTCTGGCCTGAGTTACACCATCTACAATGCAGTGTATACTGTGGCTTGGGCCCTTCATGCAAGGCTTCTGATGAAAACAGAGATTTCATCTGAGGAAGCTAGAGAAAACTGCATGCCTCATCCTTGGTAGGTAAATTTCCTTTAGGAACTGGTCTTGTTTATTGCTGTTTCTTAATATTTTGACAATGGGACTTACACTAGGGCTTTCTGAATTTCTGAACTCTCCTAGTGAACTGACTAGGGCAGCATAGAGTAGAGCTACCACAAAACTCAAAATATGGAAATCAGTCTTTCTCCATTTGTCTTCTGTTAGTTTAACTTTGGAGGACTTTCTAGTCCATTGTTAACATATATTGAACATTAGTCACTTAAAGTTGTGGATTTTTTTTCAAGCTGAAACATTTTGCTGTTTTAAAATACCTCATCCATCTTATATTTGGGAAAATGATTTTTTGAGACCATAAAACACTTTACTTTTATCTCTATTACATTCCCTTTTATTAACCCTAATTCATTTGTAGGATAGAATTGAAATCCTCTCTTTTGCATTCAAAGCCCTTCAACATCTGGCTCACCCAATAATTTTTCAGGCCTCTTACATTTTAAACCCCACTATCAAGTACTTGGACGTGGAGTGACACTGTCCTTCTAATAGATCTTCACACAAAACCCTTCATCTCCCTACTACAAATATTTTCTTTGGCTGTCATGTATGTTTGATATTTTCTCCTCCTTTTCATCTTCTGTCTTCTTTAGCTTCCTTCAAGTCTAGATGAAGATTTCACTTTCTAAGGGAAGCCTTTCTCATCCTTCTTAATGCTACTGCCTTTCTCCTGCTGATTATACCCATTTCCTCCTTTTTTATATCTTTTTTCTATGTAGCTGTTTGCATCTTAATTCCCCTCAAAACTGGGAGCTCCTTCAGGGAAGGGACTGTCTTTTGTTTTGCTATGTAACCACATTTAGCAGTTTCTGGCACATAGTAAATGCTTAATCAATGCTCACTGAGTGAATTGAACCATCCTCCAAACTTCAAGAGATGTTTTGTATCTTGTCTCCATTATGGTAAAATTGGGTTTCCCCCAGTGTTCCAGGTTCAGCTTTCCTCTCTTCTCTCCAGCGATACTTCACTTGGTGATCTTAATAATTCCCATGGTTTCAATGATCGTCTCTACCCTGATGATTCTTGAGTCTTCTTAGCCTGCCCTAACCTCTCTGTTCCATGTGAAATTTACCAAAAGAGTAAATGGAGGAAATTCTCTGAGCAAGATAATAGTTTATAAATAGGTCACCAAACCTACTAATAAAGAATGAGTTCAATGTCACAGCCTCTGGCCAAAACCTGAATTTAACCTTCTTAACCAGGCTAACCCTGAATTTAATATCCAAAACATTTTTATATGAATAGAAGAAAGAACAGAACAAAAATTATACAATTGATTATGAGATAGGCAACATCATGGAGTTTGAGAATAATGACTGGTTACATTAAAGAGTGAGTGTAGCTCACACATTAGATGAAGATCACCTCTATCTCTAAGGAATTCTGTTGTGAATCTATGAGTCACAGCTGCATCATTATGTCACTGATAGGGACCCATGTTTGTGGACAAACTGGTGCCTAAGGGCTTAGTTAAGACCATCTTTTTTAAAAGATGGGACAAGCTCAGTTAGTTCAGCCTCTAAGGGATACAAATCTTGCAGAAAATGTGGAGACAATATTTTATGAGAATAGCGAGAGCAGAGTTTTTCTATAGCTAACTTTGTGGAGAAGCTTAAGTCTTTGATATCTAAGTTAAGGGAAAGAGGAGCCTGAACTTTTGCAAACATGAATTTCTGCACTTAGAGACAGAAAAGAAGCTATAGAAGACAAAATCTTGTTACAGAATAAAATCACTCACCACAGCAAAATCAAATATAAAATACAATATCTGGAATTAATTCTATCATCTCTGTTAACCTCCATTTTTGCCTCTTCAGCTGTCTATTGTACATCTTAAATGAGATGTTCTGCACACATCTTAAACTCCACATGATCAAAACTGAAATTATTCCTCCAAAGAATTCCTTCTTCCAAACTCCATCTTGAGGGTGATATTCAAATCACTTCACTGACCGCTTTTGGTCCACTGGAATGCGTTCTTAAAAAATACATGTTATGTCCATGCACATAGTGAACACAAATCAAAGGACAATGGTCATGAGGCACACATGTGTCCAAGGCAACTCTGACCTTCAGAACTGTGGATTTGATGTTCTTTCCATAAAGTCCTCTCGAAACTGTATGCCGTATTTTGTAAATAAACTGATCAACTAATAGACTGTGCCTGCTACTTCTCCAAGAACATTTTGGTTCTGTTGGGTAGATCATTCTGTTGGACTCTCTTGAGCTTGCTCCTTGATGGCAGCTGAATTCTTCACCACCTTCATCTCCAGCCTCAGTTGCACTCCTTTTCTGGGAACTTCTGGACTCTTTTAAAAAGAACAATGACCCCTAGCTTCGGACTGGGAGAAGCCTTCTGAGTTCTGCTCCCTTGAGAGCTCAGTTCTGAGATTTGCCAGCTCCCAGGCCTTTCACTTTGACAACTCTTCCAACAGCAAGACTGGACCTCCTCAGTGAGAGAACTTGCCTTTACTAACAATGACCGTCCAATTAATTTTCCAAATACACATCTCTGCAAACTTGGCCATAACCAGGCAATGACAATTTCCTTCATAATCTATGGGTTTCAGTGTTGCCCATTTAGAAAAAAAAATCTAATGTTCTCCTCTTTGTCTATATGATTGAATGGCTAGGGAAAAAGGAAAAAGTCAATCTATGCTCTAGAGACAAGTTTGTTTTCTCTAGTGGACTTTTCATATGCAAATTAAAAGACTCAAAGTCTCTCATTTTTCAAGTCAATCATTTAACAGCTGTTTAATTTATTAGGTGCTTTCTTTGTGCCAGACTTTTCAGTAAACACTGGGGATGTAATAACAAAGAATTAAACAACCCTTACTTTCAAGTCATCTAGTTAATCAGAATTTATTAAGCATTAACTGTACGCCAGGCAGTGCATTAAGTGCAAAGATATCCCCATCTTCCATTACCTTAACTTCTAATGGAGAACAGAACAAGTATATACATTAATACATATATCTTTACATTTAAACAAAAGGGTACACTGAGGAAAATCTCCAAGCAAGATAACACTTACTAGCAGATGCATTCTGCCTGCCAATAAATGAGTTAATAGTTTGCCTACATTTATTCCAAAGATCCCAAGCAAAATAATTTTTTTTGTTTCTATAGGTTTGGGAGAGACTAAGAATTCCTTATTGTCTGAATTCAGGTTCAAGATAGCAGCCCTGGCTTTTGGACAGTAAATCACTCATTCTTAAAAGGATATCTTGTGGTGTAAAGATATCATGTCCAACTCCCTTGCTTTCATACACATTCCCCAAAGCCAGTTAAATTCCTTGAGGCAAGAAGAATTGAATTTTTAAAGTTAACCGATCATTGTCCAGCTGAACTCTGAACTAAATTCAGAGACAAAGTACTGTGACTTAAGCAATTACAGGACAAAAGTAGTTATAAAAGAAAACCTATTACTTGTAAATAGAAGAAATAATAAATAAAGGATACAAGACCATTCTTAATCACTCATACATACGCACCATAAACACAAAGTATATAAATACAAATATACTATGCATAATAGGTTGTTTTAAGCTTCCCCGCAATAAATTGCTCCTCTGGGCAATACTGCTCCCCTTTTTTTGTTCTTCTACGGTGTTTGTACTAAACTGAAACTTAGAGACAATCACTATAAGGACATTGTTAGGAAGTCTTAACATTTGGGCTGAAGTTGGGCTCTCTGACATAATTTACATTCATATTTATCTCTAGCTAATCCCTGGCATAATTGGCAAGGTAAAATTTAAGTTATCAGAAACATTTGGGTAAAGAAGCAAAAAAAGTATACTGCAGTTCCTATTGGTAGACAAGTACCAGAAAGAAAAGTTGGGGAAAGAGCAGACTTCTTTGAATTTTTCGGATTTAATCAAACAGTAAATTACTATAGTGGTTGACTACTGTGTCTTGCATACCTAACTTATTCCACTGATCCACCACTCTATTTCTTAGTCAGTACTAAGTAGTTTTGATGATTGCTGTTTTATTATACAGTTTTAGATCTGTTGTGGCTAAGCCACCTTCCCTTGCATTCCTTTTCATTAATTCTGTTGATATTCTGGACCTTCTGTTCTTCCAGAAGAATTTTGTTATTTTTTTCTAGCTCTATAAAATAAGTTTTTGGTAGTTTGATTGGTATGGCACTGAAGAAGTAAATTGATTTAGGTAGAATTGTCATTTTTATCATATTAGCTAGGCCTACCCATGAACAATTGATATTTTTCAATTATTTAGATCTGACTTAATTTATGTGAAAAGTGTTTGTAATTATGTTCATATAGTTCTTGGGTTAATCTTGGTAGGTAGACTCACAAATATTTTATATTGTCTACAGATACCTTAAATGGAATTTCTCTTTCTATGTCTTGCTGCTGGGTTTTGTTAGTAATATATAAAAATGCCAATGATTTTTGTGGGTTTATTTTATAGCCTGCACCTTTGTTAAAGTTGTTTATTATTTCAAGTAGTTTTTCACTTGATTCTCTAGGATTCCTTAAGTATATCATCATATCATCTTCAAAGAGTGATAGCTTTATTTCTTCTTTGCCTATTCTAATACCTTCAATTTCTTTTTTCTTCTCATGGTGACTTGTTGCCATAATCTCTTTGCTTATATTTTATTTTATTTTATTTACAAATTTTGCTTTAATATTTGTTAGGGAAGTTGGTATGTTATTTTCTTTCTCTGTTTTGGCTCTTCCTGGTTTAGCTATCAGCATCATATTTGTATCATGGAAAGAATTTGGTAGGACTCCTTCTTTACCTATTTTTCCAAATCATTTATATAGAATTGGAATTAATTGCTCTTTAAGTGCTTGGTAGAATTCAACTGTAAATCCATCTGACCCTGGAGATTTTCTCTTCTGGAGTTCATTGATGGCTTGTTCAATTTCTTTGTCTGAAAATGGGGTTATTTAAGTATTTTAGTTCCCCTTCTATTAATCTGGTCTAT